GGGGCATAAATTTGCTGCTCCAGAATGGGGGTCCCTGAAAAATGGATTTTCAATATGAAGTCACCGGACATGCGCCAAGTCTGCATTGCCCATTACATCGTGCACTCTTGGAAAAACTTGGTGGCGTTCCTCTGGCGTTGGCGAGCTTTACTTGGATTCACCGATTCGCTTTCAACTAAGAATCCTCCGATGATGGTCTGGCTTGTTGTTGTTGCTCCTGGCACGGACGGACTTTCTCGAGCATTTCTGCTTCCAAAGTACCCATGTGGATCGCAAGGGCTTGACGATTCGTGTGTTTGCTCCTGGTTGCCAAGCACATTCTTGGTTTCATGTTGCGCAGATCGCACTTTGTCACCACCCGAGCGCTCCGTCTGAAGGTCGTGCAGTTCGCCGTGTCGCGCGTGATTAAGGCTTGCGCACTCTGCTCCTTGGGCTTGAATGTCCATCTTCTCGCGGGGGCATTCGCTGTCGCACTTGGGAATGCACTTCTCCTTATCCATCGTCGTCCTTGCTTGGATGGACTGCGTGATGCCATCGGTATGTCCGCCTTTTGAACTTTTGTTGAAATTTTCGACACCGTGTATTGAATTACAAAAGGCATATTTTTCGTCACCATATATTGAATGAATGCCGGGGTCGTCCATCTTGAAGTGCGGAATGCCGAGAATGACCGCCAACCATGATCATCCCGTCATCCAGATTTATTAGACCTGTTACAGCATTAGATCATGCTTTTAGGGGAGCGATACTGACTCTACAATTGTGCGATAGAGTCATCGGAGTACTCATCTACTGTTGTACTGCTCCAGAGTTGGAACGATGGAGTCGTATCAGTGCCATTACATTGAACGAATCTCTATCTTACAAGATGTAGCACATCTAGCATCTAGAAAGAGTCCTCATGGATATAGTGCGCTGCGGCATCAGCTAATGGCTAATGGCATGCATAACGAACTCTATGGTCTCTAGTCTCTATGGCACCTCGTAGCTAGAGCTACCGGTAGTATGCATGTGTCAAGTGCTCGAAGAGATTGACAGTACACGCCAGTACTCAGTAGTGTACGAGTTACATAATGCGAAAACAAGTGTACTGTCATGGTTGATGGTTGAAATCCAAGTATCCAATCACACAGCGACTGATGGCGTGTGATGAGTTGGTGTCTCATCAAAAATCATCCTTGATCCAGACGAAAGACCTTCTTTCAGGCACCCTTCTCTAGCATAGTTGCCCAAGCAGCTAGTCTTCCCATCAAATATGATGAGACGCTCAGCACTCGATAATACCAGATTTCTTCTGTCAAAGAGATCAGTAGCTACCGCTGCGGTCGCGGGTCTGGATCTTCCGTGTGGACCCGACTTCAGCGTCTCATCGTCAAGCCAATCGTTCACGTCTACGCGATTGGTTCGACGCAGCGACCATATCCCTGTTTCAGCGAATACTAGGCGCTTCTTATCGACTTCCCCGTTGTCGCATCTGTCTGTGACTGCGAACGATTTTTTTGGCGAACATGTCACATTTCTTGGTCCTGGAGGAGCTGACGAATTTTCCGCAATGGCAACCTACGACGCCTTTCTTTTGACGGTACTGACCAAAGGGAAGTCCATGACTGGTGGAGGTTACGAGGAAGGCTTGCAAATTAAGGCAGCACATGCTGCCGCAATCGCATGGTCGGAATTGCTGGAATCCACGGCACATGATGCAGCTCCCATGATGGCCGTGGTGGCAGTTGGACCTATATTGGTACAAGCGGATATGACTTACCTACGTCGTGTAGATGAGCTGTTGCTATCGACTGCTGACAAGATTCAGCTTGTTGATATTGCTAACAAGGCTCTTGACCATAAAGAGAACTCCAAATTGACACAGCGGGAACGCCACCACCTTCAGGCGTTGGATCTTTTGATGCAACACGAACGCAAGGAGGCGCTCAAAATTTATCTGGAACTCTTGCGAATGTGTCCAGGTGACATACTCGCTCTATCGTTCGCTATTGATCTTGCGGCAACTTTGGGAGACAAACGTGCCGCGCTTCGGGCTGCAACCACTGTTTATTCCTACTGGCAAGACCGACAAAATACCATGACGGGCTATTCCATCGGCGCCTCACTTATCGCCGTTGGATTGGCGGCTGGTGGTCGCTCAGATGTTGCCGAGGGGTTTCTCCAGAAGAGTATGCCGCATATTGATTTGGAGGGATGCGGAGGTATCGCTAGCTGGGCATTTGGGCTGATATACGATGCTTCCGGGAGAGTCGCAGAAGGAGTCTCGGCACTAAATGGATACGACGGGGTGAAAAAGTTTGAATCATCTGGATTACTCTTTTTTGATTCTCGTCTCTGTGGATACGGAGCACGATTCGCTTTGGATCGCGAAGGAGGGCGGAATGCCCGATCGATTTTGCGCGTCTACGATGAATCCTACTCTCGGGTTTGGTTTGACTCCGGATATGCCTACCGAAAACCACTCATAACAACGGAGAAAAGAGTGCCAACTCATACTAGCCGAATGTCCATGCCAGGTACCTCCATCTTTCAGAGTATCTTTGGTTCCAGCACTGGTGAATCCGCGCAAGACGGTCAAAACGGCGACAACGCCTTGCCGACATCAGTCGATACGTTGACGTGGTTACCTCCAACGCCACAAATGCTCACCGACGCCACGTTCCTTCTGCTGCGAATTACGTTACAAGGATCCATCGATGGCGGTGATGATCGATGGACTAATCTCATGAATACATGGTTGACGCTGTTGGATCAGTACGAAGGTAACTACTCCTCATTACCCGAGTCCGTCAAAGTTGCTTCGGCGTTGGCTTGCCACAATATTGTGGAATTGCGGTTTGAAAATGAAAGCAACGCGATTGTAGGGGCAAGGCAACTAGGAAGCCTCATGTGGATGGGTACATCCATGCCTGCTACACCCGTAAGTCCTGAGGAATGGAAGAAAGCTGTCCTACTTCTTTCTGAAAGTCTGGTTGACAACTACTGGGATATTGATGCACGCCCACTGTTCGAGGTGGGGACTTGCCATGCCGCATGCATGTCAGCGAACGATCTTGAGTGCCTTTGCATAGCAAGGTCGATTTGCAGTTCCGGCGTTGCTCTAAGAGCAAATTCGCCGGAAGAGTGGTCGCGGTATAGCGAGGTTCTGAAATGCCTAGGCGACGAGGTCGCCGCGGAAGACGCGAAAACTGCCAGCGTCAGTTTGGGAGCTGGCCAAGGTGGTTATGGAGTCCATTAACCTAGTTTCAGTTTTCCACTTTCCTGATGGCGTCCATCACAATTGCGGCTTGTTTCGCGCCCTTGACATTATGGACGCGCAGTATATTGAATTGACAGGATGACCCACCGAGACAGATAGCCGCAATGGTAGATGCAACAGACCCAAAATCACGATGCGCGGCATGTGTCTCCCCGGTGATTTTACCAATGAATCCTTTGCGACTCGTCCCTAATAGCATTGGAAGATGACCAACCAGCATCTGCAACTTGCCATAATGCTTTAGTAATTGAAGATTTCCCTTCAGATCTTTGGCAAATCCAATTCCTGGGTCCAGCACTTGAAGCCATCTTTGAATACCACAGCGTTCTGCCTCAGCTATTCGGGCTCGCAGCTCAGCGGCAACCTCGTCAACCACGTTGTCATAGTGGGTCAATTTTTGCATGGTTTCCGGCGTGCCGCGCATATGCATGATAATCATAGGTACTCGAAGCTCTGCAACTGTTGAAAGCATGTTCTCGTCGAAAGTACCTCCTGAGACATCATTGACAACGTCAGCGCCCGCTTCAACCGCCGCCTTCGCCACCAGAGCATGCCGTGTATCAATCGAAAGTGGAATGTCGGAACCTGATTACAGGGGGAGAAATGTGAATGAGTCGAGACAACGAAAATTCACTTATCACTACGAAGCCACTTACATTTCCTTATTTCTTGTATAACCGGAATCGTGCGCCGGAGTTCTTCTTCGATTTCCACTTCCTTCGCCCCCGGCCTTGTGGACTCACCACCCACATCAATGATACCGGCACCCTGCTCAACCATCTCAAGCGCCTGATTCACAGCTAGCTCGACTTGGTTTTTGTAATTGCCACCGTCACTAAAGCTGTCAGGAGTGACATTCAGGATTCCCATGACAATCGTGTCGTTGAAGTACAGCATTCTACCCCGAGGAAGAGGCAGAACCCTCACAGTCTCAAGCTTGACGCGGTGCTTGAGTTGTTCAAAGAGTTCCGACAAGGTGACATTCAGCTTTGGGTGAATCAATTCTGATGCTCCCAAGTCAATTAGAGGAGCCAACACAAATTCGCGTTCAGAGAGTCGTGCATGTGGAATTTCGAGCTCGTCATCGTGGAACACGAGGGATTCGTTTTTATGTACACCATAAAAACAAATATCTAGATCAATGGGCCTGGGTCCATTGCGAATACCACTAAAATTGCGTCCCAGATCCCGCTCCACATCCTTGAGTCGCCTTAGAAGATCCTTCGGAGGAAGCGTCGTTTCTAGTTCCACCACTCCATTGAGGAAGGCTGGCTGGTCCGTCACATACATTGGGGCGGATTCGAGGAGAGACGACGTGCGGACAAGTTTAATATCGCCAGACGATGATGTACAAAGTAGATCAATTCCATTAACAATATTGTCGAAGCGATTTCCCAAGTTGGACCCGACTGCCACGTAAACGCGGTGTCCATCGGTGCCTGATGTAAACGACGACGATGAACCGCCACCTCGCGTCAAGAACGGTTTGGAAAATCCGAAGGGGTCACGCCGTTGCTTGATGCGAGAAACCGTAGACACCAAGCGGAACATCGATAGAGCTAAGTATCGCCATGGTGTCATTGTCACCATGCTGTAATGCGACGTACACTGAGTATATCAGTGTATGTCAGTTGCCATCAGCATACATACAGTCAGAATGTCAGAATGCAGGACAACAATTATGCATTCTCGGCCAAAAATTGTGTAAAAGATGTGGTGCTTTTGTGTAAAAGTCGTGTTCTCTTACCCGGATTCGAACCGAGGATACTTGATTCAAAGTCAAGGGTGATAACCACTTCACTATAAGAGAGAGAACAACAAAAGAAGACGTCATCAATGTATATAAAGTCTACATGATTCAAATGAGGTTGGTTATAGACTTGAAGCCGTTAGCAAAAGGTTACCACCCGATGTGGGGATCGAACCCACGACCACACGATTAAAAGTCGGGCGCTCTTCCACTGAGCTAATCGGGTAGGTCAGTTGACAGAAAGGTGCCTGTCTAGGTTTATGAAACTTACAAATGCAAATAACTCCGTCGTTTTAGATTCCTTACACTACTACGACTACATGTACTTTGCATACAATTTTTCGGCGCAAGTAATTCAATGTATATGTGCTGTGCTGTGCGGTCTTCGCAACATACTCTAACATACCATATCACAATCTCGAGCGCGCCCCATTTTTAGATTCAAATCACATTCATATCATACGTTCCTTGTTCCTGGTACTCGTACATGGTACAAGTACAGTATTGTACATCGTTCAACACGCAACGCGCGCCATTATTTTTTTTCTCGGAACTCTGGTCTTGCTATTTTCTACAAACTGTTCTACATTACAGAATACTCGTACTACCGGTACCAAGTACCACCTAAAAACTGCTTAGAACCAATAATTTAACGCATGTTACGACTCAATTTATCCATTCCTTCAAGCTTCGCACTCTATTTCCGTTCCGTTACAACTTCTTCTCCGTATAGTTCTCCACGTTACAATTGAATCAATCTTGTACTGGAGAAGATATTCATCAAGAAATGGAACGATTTCATCGCCTCGTTTTGAGATTATTGGTTCTAAGTGATACATAAAAATTTATCCATGCATGAGGAAAAATTTATATGTGCGCGCGTAATCTTTTTCACCCGTTCGTCCAAAATCGATGTAATTTTCGGTCTACTGTTACGCTGGTAGCCACGTGTGTCTTGTACCACCAACGTTGGACCACAAGAAAAATACGGCGCGGTATCGTGTGTCACGAGTTTCTATAAAAATCGCAACAGTGAAAAAAAATACTCCGAGCATCAATGGGAAGCCCACCTCGATGTGTTAAAATCGTGAGCTGGATTTGAGCTCAATTGACAAAATACAGTGTGAAATATTGAACCGACCGCTCACTCAACCTCACTTTCCTGCAAGTATACGAAGGCTGTAGGATGAATAAAGGAATGAGGTTGTCATACATATTCTTTGGGAAAAACATAATTTGAGCAACTTTTGTGTAGGAGAAATGGAAATTGACGTGTTTATTGGTTCTAAGTGATATTATTGGTTCTAAGCAGTTTTTAGGTGGTACTTGACTCCAGCATATGATAGCAGTGCCTCGTACTTGGAGTATGATACAAGTATTACTAGTACGAGTACCCAACATGCATACATTCAACCTGCCTCATCACTCCTCACGCCGGGACATTCGACCTAATCAGCATCGCATCGATTCTGCCTCAGCCATTGTTCTCACGCTCTCTGTGTAGTGTTCCATGTCCGAAGCAAAGTGCACCGCGCTACGCAGCGAAGTGCGTTCAGCGTTCGCCAATGCTGGATTACAATCAGTGAACGACGATATGTTAAGCAAATGTAGGTTTTGAAGCATTTTCAGTACTGTAACTGGTAGTGCTTGTCCCTTGTGGTGATCCTGGTTAAGTAAAGTTGACACTTACACTGCTTGCTGAAACACTAGGCCTGGCTCTTTCTACCAGCATTGGCATAACGCCATCTCAGTTGGCAACGACGTGGGAAGCCTTCTCCTTGAATACAAAAGTATCTGAGCTGACGGACCTGTCATTTCAAGCCTATCGCAACGCTGTCATCAAAGACTACGATTCTGCTGTGATCTCTCGTCCTGGACTGGGAAAACGTCATGGATTGCCCATGGTTACACCGGAAGCCAAGCGATTGCATCTCGCACCGACGACGGATACTCAGACGTCGGCCGTTGATGCGATTGCACAGACCTCGCGACGCGTTTCGGTAAGCCCCAACAAGATTCTTTCCCAACAGCTGCCTGCGATGAAGATGCCATCGTACGACGAGCGCACCGGCGTTGGAAAAGTGGTTGTGTCGTATCATCCCAAAAAGGTGCTCACTGGAGAACACGTTGCCGCCATTGGCAAGCCACGGTGTTTGATTTCCATGGACTTTGCCACCAATGTGACTCAAGCGTATCGTCACATGTTTACGACACTGGAAGAGCGAGCTCGGATTTTGGATGATCATTTGGCTTCCATGGGGGAAGACATTGTGGAAGTTTTGGGTAGCGAAGGTGTTGCTGAGCTCGAAGCCGTTGGAGTACCTCGACAGGAAAAGGTGACGTGCGTTGGGCGAATCTGCAACGAGGTATGTGACACTGGTGTCTCCTAGTCCCTAACGTCGTCATGCGCTACGTGCTGTAGCTGATACATTATCTCTCCAATTCTAGGCTCATGAAGGAAGAATCAACCAGACCTCAGTGTTGCTCGAGGGAACACGCCATTATTCGAACGGAACACGAATCCACTTGGATCTGTCTCAATTGAAGGACAGTCAAGTACCTTATTCCTTATTCCCAGGACAGATAGTTGCTGTGGAAGGAATGAATATTTCTGGTCGCAAAATGGTTCCGAGTCGTATCTTTTGTGGAGCAACTCTTGACCCGATGAAAACCAAGGCGTCGGAGTTGATGAGTCTACACCATGACTTGCAAGACAGTCGACCGTTGAAGGTGTTGACTGCATGTGGGCCATACACGACCAGTGATAATCTCGAGTACGCTCCTCTCATGGACTTGATTGAGCTTGTTCGGTCACAGAAGCCGGATGTTGTCATTCTGTTGGGTCCGTTCGTTCACATTGCTAACAGTGAAACTACTTTGGAGCTCGACGATGGAACCAAAATGCAAGTTACTTACGAAGTCTTCTTCGCCAACAAGTTTTCCGCCTTGTTGGAAGAACTGTTTGAGACTGAAGCAGACCTGCAGACTCAATTCGTCCTCGCGCCGAGTCTCGACGATGCCGTCGCAGAGTGGGTTTTCCCCCAAGCCCCTCTCGCGGATCGATTGCCTCAGGCAGGCAAGACGCTCAATCTTCCAGGCGCCGAAGGGATTGAGATTGGGAAGCTTGGCTTACACCACGTGGAGACGGCTGGACGCGAAGGTGGAGGCCCTCGTCGTATTCACTGTGTTCCGAATCCGTGCACCCTTCAGATCAATGAAATGGTCATTGGCATTACATCAAACGATGCGATTTTCCAAATGAGTGCCGACGAGACAAACGCAAACCTCGCGCCTGGTTCTCGATTGACTCGCATCGCACAACACCTCTTGGAGCAACGAAGCTATTATCCTCTATTTCCTCCACCGCTGGGAATGAACCTTGATCTTCGTCAACTAAAGTACTGCCAAATGCCATGCCGACCCGATATCTTGATTCTGCCATCCAAGCTCACATGCTTCGCTCGCGCTGTCTGCAACTCGACGATGGTGGTCAACCCAGGGCACCTAGCCAAGGGCACGACAGGAGGCACGTATGCGCTTATGAATATTCACCCTTTGGATCGCGAGGCGTTGGAGGCAGCCGGAGGTGACGATGTTGAAATGGAGCATGTGATTCAAGACCGTGTGTCGATCGAAATCAAACGAATCTAAGCGGATAGTTTTGCTAACGCTAGTTTGACAATCTATGGGGGTTTCCTTAAATGAATCAATTGTCCTTGATTGTTAGACCTCATCAACCGCTAGAATACCAACTGACTATATACCTGGTCGTGGCAGTCCCATTTTGTGTCCGTGATATCATTGGAGGATAGTTGCCTTAACAAGTTATAGAAATGCCCAGTTCAATTACCGTGCTGCCGCCAGTCCAAATGAGGGATAGTCAACCTGCACAGGCGTTTTAAAGGAGTCACTCGTCACGTCGTCCATTCTTTATTATAAGTAACATCAGAAATTGATGTTACTACTATAACTCTACAACCCAGGACCCACCGCGCGTTGTATGCATATAGCATATAGGCGATGAATGCTATGAAATCCTACGAGTACTGGTTAGTACAGTAGACGTTATGTCTGCCCTTCAGTCCGTTTTGGCTTGCAATGCCAACAACGTGTAGAACCACCCTTTCGAGGATTTCCGATTTTGATCTGCCCTCGATTTGCGAAGTGCTGTTGTTCCAATCAATTTTCTTTGTCTGTATGCTGACTATTGATTGACATTGATTTACGAGAAGCGTTTACTATTTGTTGAGCATGGGGAAGAACAAGGGCACCGCTTCCGCTGGCAAGAAACGCGGCCAAAGTGAAGTATGGACTGCGGCAGATCATCAAGAACGTACTGCCGCCAAGCAACAGAAAGGAAAAGGTAAAAGTAAGAACAAGATGGAACGTGCTGCACTTTTGGATCACGGTACAAGCGACAAGAAGGAAGCTCAAAAGCTGAACTTGCACATTATCAAGACCAAACGGTCTGTCGATGCTTTGCGTGATCGTCTCAAGCAGTGGGATGCGGTTAAAGAGGCGAAGCTACAAAAAGAGGCGGATGCAAAGCGCCGCAAGGACGAAGAAGAAAATGCTGCGAAGGAGGCAGGTATCGTCAAGAAGCGGCAACGTCTGGGTCCAGAGTCATGGAAACTGCGGGGCGCTGCTCGTCCTGCGTGGGAAGTGTACGATTTTGATACTCGCTATGTTGATCCTCATCTTAAGGCCCATGAAGAAGCCAAGGCCAGTATTCAACGAAGTCAAAACATGTTGGTGCTGTACAAGAACAATTTTGGAGGCCCAGAAACACCTCCTGTGTGTCGTGCATATTTGGGGCTATTGATGCAACTGGGACTCTTGTATCGTCAAGCCAACAAGATTAAGGCTGCTCGATCTACCTTGCTGGAGGTTATGGACTTGGATTCGCTTGAAAAACCAATTACTCTGGCACGTTGTCATTTGATGAGACTCTATCTCGAAGCGAACCGTCCTGAGTCAGTGCAAAGGTTACTAGAACGTCTCCCAAACACTGATAAGTCAGTATGGATTCAATACTCCGTGTTCTGGTGGAGTACCGCAAT